GAGAAGACGGCCATGTTTGTTGTCATCATCAGGGAATCGGTGGCCTTTGCAGAACGAGCGGTGCACTTGTTGTTGCTAGCACTGGGATGACTGTTTGAATCACTCTTTGAAGATGACTGACGTGCTGTGTGGCCATTGTACATTGGTCGATGGTAGTCGGCAAGTGACCGATAAAGCGGCGAGTGTGCTGATGGGTGGTTGAAGCTGCTGCTCGAGTTGTTCGTCGACAAAATTGGGCCATTCAGCGATAGTGACGCTGAAGGAGATGAGGAGGAAGCCGCCGGCGGCGGCGGCAGTGACGATAAGGCCGAGTGTTGGTGAAGATGGTTGTGATGACTGACAGAGAGAGACGGTGAACGGCGAAATGACACCGAAGGTGAAGATGCTAACTCGCAGTAGCACTCGTCCGGCAGAGAGTCGATGGCCGAGTCGTAGGAGGCATTGGGGCCCGCTATGGCGCTCGTCAGCATCATTCGCCGATGCTCTAAATCGGCCATGCTCTTGTGCGCCTTTACTTTCAGTGCTGACCAGTGCAACTGGCAAACGTGCTCACGAAGGAGACGAGATGTAACACAAAAGTGACATGCAGAGAGGTGACAGGTGACACTAATGGTGATGTGATTTTGCAGCGTCCATCGCGTGTGGGCACAGAGTTCTTATGGAGAGAGAGAGCCTGCGCCAGTCGGCTGTGTCCACCACTATGGCCACTATGTANGGCCATGCTCTTGTGCGCCTTTACTTTCAGTGCTGACCAGTGCAACTGGCGAACGTGCTCACGAAGGAGACGAGATGTAACACAAAAGTGACATGCAGAGAGGTGACAGGTGACACTAATGGTGATGTGATTTTGCAGCGTCCATCGCGTGTGGGCACAGAGTTCTTATGGAGAGAGAGAGCCTGCGCCAGTCGGCTGTGTCCACCACTATGGCCACTATGTACTGTTACTTTCCATTCGCACCTCTTACGACCACCGTCAGTTGATCAGTGAGGCTGTCCTGGCTGAGGAAAAAAGAGAAAGCGAGAAAACCGACAACGTGGTGATGATGGTGCTGGTGGTAACGGGCTGATCCGCCGACGTACGCTTAACGAGGCATGGGCACCACGACGGCACGACAGCTATTCTGGGAGCACCTGAGTAGAGGAGACAAACAAACAAACATTAGTTATGGTTAGACTCAAATCGGACGAGCAATTGGCGCAAATGCAATTCCACCATCTAAGAAGAGAAAGAAAAAGAAAGAGAGTGCTTTTGTGGTAGCAATTGAAAGAGGCAGCCATCAAGCAGGCCGACAGTGCGATTCACAAAAAACACTTTTTCCATTCATCATAATCTCAATAGCCGGCGGTCAGCGGTGTCAGAGTGAGCAAGTGTCGCTAGCCAATTGAGCCACTGCTAATGTGGGTCATTACATGGCGACCGACACGCGAGCATGCAAGTGGTGCAGTCACTCTTCACATGTTGAACACTTTCACACTTCTCCGGTGCGAGCGACGAGACGCAGATTGGAAGGGCGCCAGTCTTTGGTGCAGCTACTGCTGCTACTGCCATGGCAAAGGAGGCGATGATGATGAGGAAGCTCATCATCAGCGGAAAGTTCACCGGAGAGAGTCATTGAAGTGAACAATTAAAAAGAAGAAGCTGAAGACGAGCATGAGCATGAGCATGTTCTTCTCCCTTGTCACCGTCGTTCACTGCCTATTGAGGCTAACAAACCAAAAGGTCAACGAGAGTAGTAGTGAGTGAGAGTGGCAAGTGAAAGGGTGTCACACACACTGCTCAACGGGACTTTGAGTAGAGTGTCATTCATGAAGCAAAGCATTTCAACACTTCAGCACGACCAATTTATGGCAATCGACTTGTCATCGTCTGCCACTGATTACCTTGGTCGCTGCAGTACAACCAGCTACACCAAATGCCACACGTTATGCTTGACAAAATATATGACTTGCTGGCCTTCTTTCACTCTCTAAATATTCACATAGTTGTCAAAACAAGCAATGAAGGCTAAATTAGGCGATAAAATGTCAACACAAAGTATAAATAAAAAATCAAAATAAACAGTTTGGCAATAGTTGATTTTCAAGCGTCAAAAATTTTGAAACACAGAATAAAGAAAATGAGTCAATGCAAAACGGCATTTAGATAATTCTCGTGTTATTTGATGACTCACTGGCACGGGGTATAAAGCCAGACTGAATAGGGAATGTTCAAATGGGGAATTGCCAGTGAGGTCATCGAGTTCAGCAGTGGGCAAAAGAGAAGAAAGAGGCAAAGCTGGTTAGCTTAGATTGCGTGCTGCTGACTCACAGGGTTTAGGTAGTGGTGGTGGCAGCGGCAAAGGCAACGGTGATGGCAAGGGGCCCAAAGATCGACGGCCTAGAGGACTGCAAAGGCAAGGAAGAAACCATCTGTCGCTAGTGCACGACCACATTACGCACTGCAATTTTGGTGCAGGGCACCGCAAAGGCACAGGCTGAGATAGAGTGCACGTGGCTTCTATTTTTACGACCAAAATACGACGGTCGATTTCACCCACAAACGGCTATGCATCTGGTATTTATTTGACCACAAAAGTAAAAAACAGCAGAAAGAAAGAATGAAAGCGAAGCCAAGCGAAAGCGGCAGCTAATTAGGAACACTTGTCATTCACTCACATCTGCAGCAAGTCATTAGCCCTGCTTCGATGCATGTGTCAATTGACTGGCAAATGGTCATACCAATTGACGAACTGAACACCTCACTTTACTGTACCTCTCCTGGAGAATAGATCACAACGGTAGCAGAAGAGCAGAAAAGCCGCAGAGTGCGTTCGAGCATGCAACAGCCACGCGAATGGTGACGGACTGATTTGAAACTGAAAAGTGCTTAGTGCTAAAGTATAAGCAGCACAACACTTGTATTGAGGTTCAAGTGGGCGATGCAAATGTGAAGGAGAGAGAATGAGAGCAAGATTGTATCGAGTGTACGTAGGCGTTTTACAGTCGTCAAATAAAGGCTAAAGAAACTGAAACCGAACTTATCTGGGCGAATCACTATGGAAAAATAAGAAAGTTTCAACTGAAAGGAACCATACTTACAATGATAGTAGAGGGGCAATGAATGGCGTGCAATTCAGTGGCAGTGAAGCGTGCAGAAAAGAAGAGGGATCGACGGTGGAATAGGGCAGAGTGGAGATGGTGCTGGTCAGAGAGCTGTGTGGGTAAACAAAACCATCATCAAGGCAGTTGTTGACACTTTGCCCAGACAATCGTGTACACACAGTGGCCCACACTGAGGCGATGATAATTGGGGACAAACTGTGCAGCAGGAAAGCAGCGGATACACACTCGATAAGCGGAGGGCGATTCAGCTCTGCTCGGTCTGCACAATTATCGATTGTTTGGCCATGTGCGCAGGCGAAAATGGTCTGTTCTTCATTTCCTCTCATTAGACACGCAAAGAGGCAATAGGGCCGGTGACTGCAGTGGCCAGAGTCGGTTGATGGTCAACGCGTAACAGTGACCAGACAAGACGGTCGGGGGAGGTGCAAAGGGCAAGGGGAATATGCCATGTCATGTCACAGCCCCTGAATGAGGAAAGAAAGAGAGAGGGGGAACAGGGACGCACTCAGTGCACAGGACACAGTGTCCAGACTGGAGGGCACACAGAGGAGCTCTCGGCAGAGATGAAGGAGCTAGGGAACTGGAGAATCAAATTTCAAATCGAGTTGGTGAAAATGCTTGAGAGTGGCGAGAGGAATGTATAAACCGACGTTCTGCAGCGGTGAAAGTCAGTAGTGCTAGTAGTGATGGTAGTGGTGGTGGTGGTGGTGGTGGGCAAGTGGTGTGCGTGAGTGGTCTGGGCAGCACTGGAAGGCAACAGACTGTCGACTGACTGACAGATCTTCAGAGCGATGCCTCGCTCAGGGCAAGCACTACAGCACAGAGAGACAGCACTAGTGCAGACATTGCACTGCACTGGGTAGCGAAGAGAGCAAAGTCGGCTTGTGCGAGTTGAAGCGAGTCTTTGAAAGAGAGCGAGACTCCTTCTTCTTCTTCTTCTTCATCTTCGACGAGGCCGGCCACTGAGCATGTCTTGCCTGTGTCTCAGGTGTCGAGGGCCACTGTGCCGACAACTGGGCAACCACCAAGAGCACCATCAGTAAGAGCAGAAGCAGCGGTGGCTAGTGCTGATGCTCGGGCGGCAGTGCGGCGGTTCTCCGGTCAGAAGACACCACTCTCCACTGCCACTGCTGCCTCTTCTAGGCGCCGTCAAAGGCCACTGGAAATAGCAACACTTGGCCAGCCGAGAAGTAAACAGAAAGTACAGCAGCAGCAGCAGTGTGGACAGAAGAAACGGAAAGCGGCACTGCAGTCCGGGGCCGTCGATTGATCATCGGCTAGACACATCCAATTGGTAACGAAGTGACCACCACCAGCCAATTGATTGCTGCCGCTAAATGACCTGTGCCAATTGCTCTCGATGGCCGACTTTGCAATGATGATCACTTTGAGCCGATTACTTTCAAATTGAAGAAGGCACAGCTGAAGAGAGAAAAAGCAAAGAGCAGTGTGAGATAATTTGCCTAATACTATTAGCACTGGTGCTCAAGGCACTTTCAATTTTTAAAATAGAAACTTATGACAGTTTAAAAAGCTACAGTAAAATAACGTATCACCACGGTAACTGACATGTCCCCTCTGTTTCATATGCTGAACAAGCCATTGATTTAATTTAATTAAAAAAGCAAACCATAGACAAATGATAAACAGTTCTCGTAAACAAAAGTAAATAGAATGAATTTCACTGTATAGCAGACTCCGGATTGCATGAGTCTGCAACACAATAACAATAATATCAGGTGCACAGGTGCAACCACAAGTGCGACCAGAGGAGAAAAAGAATGAGGAGATAGAGAGGAGAGAGATAGAGAGTTGTGATGGGGAGACGAGTATCTTAAAATGGTCACGCAAGTGAGCACGGCACGTGTTGCAAGTCGAGCAATGTGGACAGTAGTGGATTAGCGGTGTGGAGTGGTCGAGCTGCTGCTGCTACTGCTGTTGTTGGCTTTCAGCGTAGACTCGCTCATGATCTGTACCCGAGAAAAGTCGCGCAGCACTTCGTTGAAGGTGTCCTCGCTTTGGCTACCAAGCTCGTCATTTCTCATTTCATCTTTTAGCTTCTTCAAGCGCAGTCTATCAGGGAATGAGGAAATAAAAAAGAGAGAAAGGGAGAGTGAGTAGAAATTAAATAGAGACCAATTAAAAAGTGACTCGAGGAAAGGACATTTCGAGGTAAGGGAGAAAGTCACAGAGGCGTCACAGCGCCGGACACACTCACAGTGTTACAATGTCTGCGTTGGCATTGTTTATGGCGATGGACAGTGCGTCCTCTTCGGCGGCATTCACCGATGATAACTCGGCGCCTCGTTTGAGCAACAGGCACACTTGTCTGACAATGGTAAAGAAGAGATCAGAGAGAATGATTTGTTTGTTTGTGGGCAATGAACAATAATCAGAGTAATGAAGGAAACAGTGACAGTGTTTGCACTTACCCAGTGTTGGCAATTCGTGTGGCATGATGCAGTGCCGTGCTGCCTTCGGCGTCCGTAGTATTACATTTCGCTCCGTTCAGAAGGAGAAACTCGCAGGCGGTCATTGTCTCACTGCGAATCGCTTGGTACAGGGCACTTCGTCCCTTCTCCAGCTGATTCTGCCAGTTGACGGAGGCATCAGCCGCCAGTGCCAGTGCCATTACCTTCAGCTCACAAGTGGAGGCAGCCTCGTAGAGCAGCAGATTGTAGTAAATGTCGATCAGGTTGCCGCTCTCCGACTGCTGAATCATCTCCAAGTACTCCGGCGTGGAGAGCAGTGTCACCACTTTGGAGTGAATCATCCTGAAGGCGGCCGAGTTGATGAGTGACACTGGGCCAGTTGGCGTTCTGCTGCTGCTGTCAGGCGATTCAGGGCTCTTTGGTGACTCGGGTGCTGCTAAACCTTCCCTTGACTTTTCAGTATCAAGTGAAATCTTCAAATCGACAGACTTGTCGACAAACAGCTTGTCCACGTACTTGGCACGAATCCACCTTACACGATCAGCCCGAGAGCTGTTGGGCTCAATTTTTACTAGTGGAGATTGCATTTTTTGAGCTGCTACTGCTGCTGCTGGCGGACTGCTGTTGCTGGCTATTAAGCTGGTGCTCGAATGTTCCGACAGCAGCGAGGTGCCCTCGCTGTTCACTGTCTGANATTGCATTTTTTGAGTTGCTACTGCTGCTGCTGGCGGACTGCTGTTGCTAGCTATTAAGCTGGTGCTCGAATGTTCCGACAGTAGCGAGGTGCCTTCGCTGTTCACTGTCTGGTTCTCCGGACTGACAACATAAAACTCAGAGTTGAATCTCGCACTATCATCCGGAGAGCCGATGACCTCAAAGGACTTGACATCAGGTGCGTCAGTGTTCGCCGGTATTGTTGCTGCAGCCGCCGTGGTCACCGCCGAGCTGTTGTGACTCACTAGAGGCCACTTGGCTTCGTAGATCTCATTGATGACCTTGTTTCCCAGCTCTAGCATTACATTCACCTGTTCACAGTCGAGATGGTCTAGGTTGAGCGAGCGAACCTTGCTCACGTGAACACCCAGCGACCGGTGCACCCCTGAGCACTCAATGCACAGCGTAATGCCCAGGTTGATGCTCGCCCAAATCGGCTCGGCAGATCCACAGTCGGCGCACTTGTCGTTTCCAGGCACGCTCAGTATCTTTGCGCAATCAGTCTTTGATATGAGGTGATTGCTGCTGGCACCTGACAGCTGCGAATTGGTGAAGATGCTCGTACCGCCGCCGCCTACTCCCCCGCTCGCATTCTGATTGCTGCCACTGTGATTGGTGGAGGATGAGGCGCTGGTGGAGAGCGAGTCAACTGAAGAGGCGTCCACCATACTGCTGCGAGGGTTGTAGGGGTGCTCAAATGAGTGCACATTGCCCTCTCGATTGCTGTTGTAGGCAGCGTCGATTCCGGCCTGCAGTGCCGTCAGCCACTGCTTACAAACCTCCTCAGAGTCGGCTTGTAAAATGTGATTCCTACAAACAAAATTGCACAACTGTTAAAACTTTTATCTTAACACGCAAACAGTCACAACTTACTTGGTTGGAGAAACAACTTCAAAACAAAATCGCCGATCAATTTCACTTACAGGGCGAGCATGGCAAAGTCGCAGATCTTCCTCCATCACCGTAACCTCCTTCTCATTAGATCTCTTTCTGTAGACCAACTGGTGGTGTTGAATGATAAACCAGCGACGATTCCAAGTTTTGAAGGTACTGGATGTCCGCTTGAAGAGATATCCCTCTAGCCTGATTGAGTGACCATTCCGAATGAGAGCGGGAATAATCTCCTTCTGTGACACCAGGTGATGGCGGTTATTGAGTGACTTCTCCAGCTTACTACTGTCAGCACGCATGTCGATAATCTAAGATTAATTAAGAAAACATGTTAATGATGCTAGCCATTTTTAGATGTACGCACTTTAGAGGCAATGTCGTTGTTAAACTCTTTCATATCTTCCAGGTAGTCGTACCCTTGGTGAAAGTATGTACCATATGAGTTAGCGAGCGAAAGCAACTGTCAATGAAAGTTAGTCAGAATGACAGACAAAAAAAGCATGTGCGATTGTGCCTTACCGAGTCGATGATAATGTGGTTGCGGCGACTAGAGAACAGAGACAGCTGAGCAACGTAATCGAGGGAAAGGTGCTGAAAGCAAGATCTGGTGGCAGTGAGCATGTTCCTCGCCTCTTCAAACTCTGTCACTTTTCCTTTGGGCACCTGTGAGTAGCGATTAAAAACAAGATCCAGATCATCGCTGCGTTTTTCAAACCGCCGCTTCAACTCTTTGATTGTGCCAATGTCGTCGTGGAGAAAGTTGCACAGATTTTCGTTGATGGTTCGGTTGAGTTGTTCATTAAAGATAGTGTCGTACTTGGATATTTCGTAGAATGTAGATATGAAGCGATTTATGTACTTGACCATGGCATCATCGCTGCTGAAACATTGGCTCAGATTGACCAGCGAGGCGATAAAGTTGCTGTAAAGAAACAAAGTTTTAACTTTTAAAAAGAAAACTTGTNTGCTGAAACATTGGCTCAGATTGACCAGCGAGGCGATAAAGTTGCTGTAATGAAACAAAGTTTTAACTTTTAAAAAGAAAACTTGCCACAGCACTTGCTTACTTTTTGGTTCGTATAAACTGCTTGCCCATCTCGATCATCGACGTACACTGCCTGAGAACCTCAGAAATGGTCTTTTCAAACAAGTCCATATCAGTTTCGTGTTTTTCCAAAGTCATCCTGAAAGAAGAAGAAGAACAAGTTAGATAACATATTCTAAAATAAAGTTATACGACAAACCGAAATTGTGGAGAGTCACGAAGACACTCATTGAGATCAACTATTGTTTCCATTGTATTGCCGATTTATGGTAAATGCACAAGTGGTAGTCAGATTGCGTGTACTTGATAGCAAACAAATAAAAACATTTGACTAATCAGCGGTCAAGAGGAAGATATTGCCCAAAAGTAATGCGTCATTGAGTAGTGATGATATGAGTTCACAGATCACAGAATTAGTTGTTGGACAACAGGACAACTTGGAGCCAATCTAGAAGGAGGGGCGAGATAGTAAACAAAGGGGCGGTTAGAAATGTTGCACATCTAAGAATATGAATGATTGATTGATTAGTGCCTTTGCCCAGCACCTGCTAATGCTGGTGAACTGGTGTCACTTTGGAATGAGCCGTTTCACGGTAGGCAATGGTAAAGTGCGGCGAATACGTGTCTCGCGCTTTGGGTGCCAGTACTCTCTCTGTGTCTGTTTGTTGTTGCTCATTATCGTTGCATTAGTAGCAAGGAAGTGGAAAATTAGTAGCAAACGAGCGCATAATCACACCGCCTTCGCCAGACTCACTGTCAAATGTTTCACCGACACAACGGTGTGAGTGGAGTGTATGTGAATGACTGTGTGTTTGTGAGTGTTGTTTGTGGCCTGTACGACAGAGAAGCAGGAAAAGTCTACTGTCTGATGGGTAGTCTGGTCGTGCTGGTCCTATCGGAGTAGTGCTCCTGTTGCTGCTGATGTTGGGTAGTATTTGATGGTCAGCTACACTGAATACGCTTTGACAGCATCACCCTACGGTTGCACCGGCGTGTAAACATCGAAAGAGTGATCTGCAGTTTGCAGTGCACTGCCTGGAGCCTCGAGGCGCGCCGCAGAAAGAGAAAGAAGGAAAGGGAGATAAATGGTGACTAATCCCCGAGTACGGTGGCCAATCAATGCTGTCTTGTTGTGAGTGTTGCAGCTTGATGATCACTGAAGCGGGGGAGAAACAGAGCAGAGCAACGACATCGGCCTTTTTAGGTCGCCAGTGTTGAACTCTGTTGTTGTTGAAGTGACGAGGATCGGACTACCTGCTGCTGCTGTCTCGATGTGGCTGGCCGAAGGAATGTAGATGAGGTGTTGATTCTAAAAAGCTCTTGACCCTGGTGATCCACAAGTGCCTTCCAGTGCTCACTGACAACGAACTGGACAGTGAACTGTCGCCGAAGCAGCTGCTCAGATTGGATTTTGCCTTTGTTGTCGCCAGTACTCGCGCCCTCTCTGGTGGAACGGGTGAAGAAATAAAAGGCGCTTGCAGCGTATTACGCCGGCACACTGCTCCCTATCTCCCTATCTCTCTCTCTCTCCCAGCTCGTGGCAATCACGCCCGAAACTGCTGCTACTGGCGATCAGCCAAAAAATCCCTGCGGGAGCAATGACAGTTGGCGATGGAATTTTTTCCTTTATTCTCGATGAATCAAAGGCAAACCCAGGCAAGTGCCGCCGGTGTTGCGGCCGATACATCATCACAACAGTACATCAGTACAACAGCATAAAAAGTATTTCAAAGTTGTGTCTTGGTAAATGGTTATTTTAAAAATCCTAAAGTAGTAGTGCCCCAACAAGTGTGGCGTTGCGAATGTTTGAATGTTTGCAAAAAACACAAAATAACAATCATAGGTGTGTCGTGTTGTGTCTGAGAGAACAGGTGGGGATGTTTGTTGCTGATGTGAAGATAAGGAGATTGCAGCTGACAGTAGTTTTGAAGTGGTTTGTAAAAAAAAGAAAAGCGGTCTAGAAAAAAATTGAATTTCTTTATTTTGAAAATTCAATAAATTTGTTGAGACAAATTGTAAATAAAAAATTAAAATAAAGAAGTTTGCTCAGTTGGTGGCGTTCTTAGATGCGATAATAGCTTCCTCGTCGACGGCAGCTAGCACAGTAACCTGAGAAAGGGGCGGAAATCAAGATTAGAAGATAGCTACACAGTTAGGGTACAGCGAGCGAGCGATGGTTGTTTTACAGCTACACCGCATCACTTACAATGACAGTGTTGTCGTCCTTGTGAAACTCCTCGCGAATCTTCTGGCCCAGCTCGCCCTCAGGCAGGCGAAGATCGTCACGGGTGTCGCCCTTGTCGTTCATGAGCGAGACGAATCCATCATCAGTGACATCGATGAGCTAGAAACAAATAATCTGGAAGTGAGCACACTCTGTTAATAGTTGACCGTAAGTGCGTACCTGAAAGTCATTGCGGCTGACGTTTGGAACATCAATGTTGTGAGTAGAAGGACAGATATCTTCGTACTTCTTGTTGGTGAAGATGTCAAGACCCACCAAGTGCACTTTGGCGTGACCATGCTTGCCAGTTTTGGAAGTGCTCATTTCCATAACTTTGCACGGGCGGCCCTTGATCATGACGAAGCCGTTTTTGCGGAGAGCCGAGCACTGCAGGGGAAAGGTTTTAGATGCACCGGCGCTGGCGGTGGCGTACTCGTGGTCATCATGGTCTTCCATTTTTACAGCTGACTGAAAGGAGTAAAGCGGACAATAGGTTAGCAAGAGAGTTGTTGAGTAGAAGACTTGCTTGGCTTGGCTTGGCGTGCCACTCGCAGATCTTCTTCCACCAGTTAGTCCTGGCTGTTGGCACACATGCAATAGCACACTACTAGCACAGACAGACGGACTACCGGGGACAAGTCGCGGTGGGAGCAAGTGATCCGGGCGCCAAGGGCAGACAGTTTGGGTGATACCTTTTGGAACAGAGAGAAGAGTACACAAGAAGAGCACAATGGAAGATGGGGAAGACTACGGGCGAAACAACGTGTTAGTCGTCTAGTGAGAGAAGAGGCTGCTCTCCGTCTTGGTGTGTTGCGGCAGCACTGGCGCGAGGTACTTCCTCTACGAAAGCCAATTCCCAGCCGACTGGCCGCCCCTTCATAGAGGACGTCATTTTGTTCAAAGGCGGGATTTTTTATCAATACAAAGGTCGAAATTGAAAGAAATCTAGTTGGTAGATCTTTTATTCATACTGATTGACTACAAACTAGTGAGTGCAGTTGCTGCAAAGTCAGTGTATTGTCTAATGAGAACTAAGGTAATCCATTTGAACCAGTCTGGTTAGTGGGCACCATTCTGTTTCGTGTAGCTGTTCAGTGTATCCGGCGTAAAGGAACGTGGCAGCAGATTACTCAGTGTCTCCAGCTCATAGCTGAGGTCCTTGTGAACCATAATAATGGTCAAGTCACTGCCAAACTAGAAGGAGAAATAGGTTGTTAGCGAGGCAATGTTGTACATGAATGGGATGAGCTCAAGAAACCTCGGCCATGAACTGTCGACAAGTGCCACAGGGAGGACAGGCGCCCGTCAGGTTGGAGCTGACGGCGACTGCCTTGAACTTGCGATGTCCCTCTGACAGTGCCTTCACATAGGCACATCGCTCCGCACAGAGACCCAGCAGAGTGGCCGTCTCGATGTTGACGCCGGTGTAGATGGAGCCGTCCTCGCAGAGCAAAGCCGCGCCCACTGGGAAGCTGCTGTAGGGGGAGTAGGAGTGGCAGAGCACGTCCCGTGACATCTGCGCCAGTTTCTGAGCTGTCTGTGAGTCCATGGTCTGCTGCCGCTGTTGCTGTCGCCTAGAAGTCCTGCGATCTCCGTCGAACTGCTCACTAGTGAACCACTTGACAGAGTTTAAATTGAACAACAGTGGAAAGTTACGCACCGATGCTAGCCTACGCCTCAAATGTGTTAAAAATGCAGCACAGTAGCTGATATCTCCTGCTGTTGTGGTTATCAGTGGCGGCCACACGACTTGAACAAGGCGGTTCAGTGTAACGTGAATGCTGCCAATGTGACTTCGACCAATGTCAGCCTGTTCTGGTTCACTGTCAGATATGGAAGACACTTCAAGAGAACAACACAGTTCTAAGTAGACGTAGAGGTGGGTGATTATCAATTGAATGCACAAATACGTGTTGAGTGTTGGTGGTGGCCACCGGTGCATCGCACGCATCACTGCACCGCTCAAAAGTCACTGCACAAGTTGGCACTCGCCTTGCTAAGTGATTAAATGAATCGTTTAATTGAATGAATGACAAATCATAATAATAGGCAAATGATGACGTGGAAACGAGGTCATAGCAGGTGAAACATGTAGTACATGTGATACATTCATGTTGAAATAATTTCATATAGGTCAGTGTTCAAGTGTGTGGTCATCTACTACTCATTAGGATGTGGATCTTGAAATGGAATTGTGTGAAGAACCTCGTCCAGCAGCTGAAGGGCTCGGTTAAGGTTGATTTCAATCCAGCAAGGCGTCTCTTTGATTGTCCTCCGCGGATAGTCTGGTCCCCAGCCTTTCACAAAGGAAAGCTTTAAAATGCACAGTCGTCGCAGATCATCGACGCCAATGCCAGTTGCACTGGATGAGAAGGCTAAGGAGAAGGAAAAGGAAGCAGGTTATAGTCATTTCAACGACAGCATAACTGCATTGCTGCAGCTTACCAATTGGCGTTGAGCCCTGAACTCCGGCCACGGCGGCCGCCCTTGCTTTAGCATTGTTGTGGGCGTCGTTCGCCTGTTGCTGCATCTGACGGTAGCACTGCTTCAAGTCGAACACCTTGATGTTTGTCTGAGGGTATATTTTGTGAATGGCATCGCCTGGGGCACGTCCTGCTTCGCGGTCCAAGTAGTAGCTCTGAAGAAAGACCGCGTGGTCAGACAGGCAGTGGAGGTACACGTCGCCCTCTCCGCGCAGCGCCAGATTGACTCCTATGAACAGCAATGAACAGTAAATAAATAAAGCTGTCGAAAATGACATCTCTGACAAATTCAGTTACCCTTTCCAATGTGCAGACGAGCCTTTTCACTTTGGTCAGCTCGGTGAACGTTGGACAGCGCGCCCAGGCAGAATCGGTTGCCCCCGCTCGGATCAACGTAGCCATCTATGGTGACGGAGCTGTAATTTGAAGGTACTTTAAAGGTCTCGCCGACGCGCTGATCGAGTTCAAAGTAGGCGATGGAGCACCAAAACTCAGGTGGTGGCTGGCTGGAGAGTGTGCGCTGAGGTATGTGCTGCGACATGTTCGAGGCTGCACTAGCATTTCGAGACAACACCTGCGGATTGTTGAGCATCTGTTGGCTCCAGTACTCGTTCGCCGAAGCAAGGTCGCCATTGTGGCTCTGGTGGTCGGAGGCTGCGCCGTCACTGCTGCCACTGTACGGTATGTTCGCCTGAGCTCCCTGCCACTTGTCACCAGGAGGAGGAGGTGGCGGAATCGGGTTCTGGTGAAGTACACCACCACCACCACCACCACCACTGCCGCCAGCTCCGCCGGCCCCACCACCACCACCCGAATTGCCAGCCATTTGGTGACTGGCCAACTGTCCAGCAGTGCTTGATCCATTTGGAGACGGGGGAGAGGTACAGTTGCTTAGTCGAGATGTAGACAGCGCGTCAATTTCAGTTTTTGGCTTTATTCCTTGTGAGTTCTGGAAATCTGCAGTACTTGTAGAGGCGCGACTGGACTCGCTGAAATGATGCTGCTGCGGAGGATAATGGCTGGCTTGAGAGAGATATGAGTTTTTCTCGTTATTAAGCATAGCATTTTGGGGATAGTGCTGCACGACATTTGAGATTGATGAACCTTTACATAACGAAAAAATCATCATTAGATCTACAAATTAAAAACGAGATTGCATCGACTGAGCCAGCAGCCACAAGTTACCTGAAACCATAAAGTCATTGTTAAGACTCTGCTGAAGACTGGGCGGCGGATTGTCATCGTCATGGCTAGTGAGGCTAAGGCTGGACAGGTCAATTCCAGGCGACACTACGCGCTCGTAGTGATAAGGGTTGACGCAGACAAAGTCGCACTTCAATTCAAACGCATATTGGCCTGATGGGTAAAAGGGAAAGTTAAAATATGAAAATCACATAAATAGAGATAATGAACATGCGTCACACGTACACGTCTTGATGTGTTTCAGCTCATTCTTGTGCAAGTCTGGCCAGCGCCAAATGCGCGCGTAAATAACATGGGGGAATCCCTTTCGCCCGGCCACCTGAAGTCGGCCGTCCAGTGTCCTCTGAATGGTGACACACTTCGTCACGTGTACCCCATTGGTGGTGATGGCAGTGATCAGCGAGTCGAGTTCGTCTCGCTTCTCCTTTAGCTTCTTGACCAGCGACTCAATGGCCCGCTTGGAGAAGCTCTCCGGCTCACCGCCCTGGCGATGACACATCAGTGAGTGAACAATGGAGTGACAGGCGTCAGCTGATGTCGGTCGGGTTGAGGGCATTGAAGGGTTCGGTGGAGCGGGTGGAGCTGGCGGGTTCACAGGTGGTGCCGGGCCGGCAAATGCCGTCGATGGAGGAGCCATTGGATTCATGTGCTTGTTTAGCATGTTCATCTGCAATGGCAGCTGACCGCCATTGTTTAGTTGATGATTGGCACCACCGACGCCGCTATTATTTGAGTACATGACGCCGGGAGGATTGATACCGTGCATACTTGGCGGGACCGACATGACAGGCAGTCCGCCAGAAGCACTAACGGCGATGTCATTTCTCGGGTCCCGCATTAATCCAGCTGATATGGTCAATGGGTGTTGCATGCTTGAGGCAGCGTTTGAGGGGTGTAAAGACATTGTGGTGGCAATTGTGGTTCGTAAGATTAGTTGTCGAAACAACGAAGAAAGCTGTAAGATGTGACCGTGATGATGTCAGCCGAGTGGTGATCGAGCAGACTGTCGCAGTGTTTTAAGTGACCGAAGGGCAGGTGGGCGAAAATAGAAGCTCACAATCCACTAGGTGGTTTCTGTTTGCAAAGAATGAGCGGGAAGGAGAAAAGTGCAAGTCTTCTTGCTGGCTCAGTAGTACTGCGCCCCTTATGTAATCATGACGACGACAACGGTAAAGAGAGCTTGCATAAGCGTTGCATCGATTGCAGCTTTGCGCGGATCTTATCATCAGGACTCCCTGCAATGGCTCACTCTCTCTCTCGCTCTCTTTCTGTGTGTATGGTGGTCACAACATGAATGAGTGCAGGCAAATGTCACCACTGCACCAAACAGTGGTCAGCTGAAGCGAGTGTCTCCAAGGTGATGCCAGGAGAGTAGGCGATGAGCAGACGACCGGAACGGGCACACTCACGTCATCAGAGGAAGAGAATCGGCCAGAAGTGTTGCTTCGGTCCCAGGAGAAAGGCGCTAGACTAGGGCCGAGCCAGAATTTCTGCGTCGCACTGACTGGTGAACAAAAATGCAAAATCGTCTTAAGNGTCCCAGGAGAAAGGCGCTAGACTAGGGCCGAGCCAGAATTTCTGCGTCGCACTGACTGATGAACAAAAATGCAAAATCGTCTTAAGTCGCCTTCGCAGAAGACGTACACTGCAGGCAGTCGCTGCCATTAGCAAAGAGGAGGACGGGAATTTTATTTTACTGCTACTCTACCCGAATGAATGTTGCTGTTAATGCTGCGGGTTAATGCTCTACGGGATCTGCTGGCGCCATGCCCACTGCAAAAAGCACTGTGAATGCAAAAGAACAGGTACGGCAGAAGCAGCAGCAGCAGGCAGGCGACAGACCTGTACCTGTGACTGGAGCACACAAAATACTGGTGCACTAACCGCCGCACTTTTATCATTATAAATATGATGTTCCTTTAATCGCTAGTGACAGCAATTATGATTAAACAGATGCAAAATATCACAAAAGAAAGAAAGAAAAAAGAGAATTTAAAGCAATTGAAACTAGAGCTTTCGCCTATTTTTAAAGTTGAGTTGAGAACAGGTAAAGCTGCAATTGTCACGCTTCGGTGGACGACTGGCCTCGTGTCTCCCCCACCCCCTACACACACTGCACTGGTTTGTGTAAGGCTTGCGGGTTCTGGCTGTTTCTGGTACGGTCCCTTTTTCGGTAGATTATGGTTATAAATAAATAGCTGAGGTAACGAGCTGCTGCTGCTAGATTGAAGAATCGGAAGAGGCGGGCGGCTCACTAGACTTCTTCTTCTGGGCACTTGAGGTCATGATGCGCTCCCGGAGTTTACTTCGCTGCTCCTTCATTTGCTCCTCTTTGTTGATCCAGTTATCACGATTCCTATTCAGCTCGTGCATGTTCTCCATCACAAACGAGTCCGGTTCGCCGTAGTTTGGCGTACCGCTGGGATCATAGCCGAGCCTGCGTAACATCGGCGCAACTTGATCCATCTCCTCGACGACGTCAGCCGGTATGTGGCCAACCCATTTGCTCAGCGCTTCAATGTTAATGGGCTTGATCACTTGATCGGTTGACCTTTCAAGCCTGGTTAGTCGTTATTGGGGGGATTTAGAAATCAAACGATTAGGTTGGTATTCAGACATTCGATAAATACAAAACACGTACTTTGAAAGCGAAATATCACCATTATCGATATGCTTCTCATGATGTAGAACAGTCTCGTTCCAGGAGACATCGAGAAAGTTTAAAATCTTTTGCATCCATTGCTTTGGATGAAGAACCAACTGCTCGTAGTACACCGGAAGGCAGACACTCGGCCCCAATTTAGAGCATTGAGTATACTGAAAATACAAAAAAATGTTAGCCACCTGAAAATGCAAAATGCTAGAGTTGCCGACCATTGAGCTCATTGCGGAGTTCCACTTTTTGAGACACTGTCGATAGCTGGACAGATCGAAACCGGAAATTGTCACCTGTCGAGAGATGATCGAGTGCACCACTGCCCGGCCGTCTCGAATCATAAAAATAAATTTGGCATTTGGAAAGAGGTATTGCAGATAGACAGCGGAACGTAAAGTAAAGGGATCTTTGTTGCACAGACGAGGGGCTGGCTTGCCGTGCCTGACGATGATTTCGAGAATGAAGGAGCCAATGGCAGAGTCGAGCACTTCGGCGGTGATGCCTGCCTCCTCCAGTCGCTTCGACTCAAAGGGCGCCTTCATCCAGGACATTCGGTAGCTGAGGAGGCGTGGAATGACCCGCGTCTCCTCGCCACACCGAATATCGGGGTGTGCGTCAAGCAGCACTCGGAGCAGTGTTGTGCCTATTTTGTAGAAAGATCAAACATTAATTCGTCTGTACCGCTTACTGGAACAGTGTTTGGAAAAGTGCCCTTACCACTGCGAGGCATGCCGCCGATGAAGATGAGTGGCATATTATGGTCGTATGAGTACTGTCGTCTTCCATCCTCGCCGAGAATGTATTTCTAGTGTAACAAAACAAAAGTTGTAAAAAGTCGAGCTCATTCACTGGAGTGAGTAATTGGCAGCCTACCTGCGAGGAGATCCACTCATAGTCAGCTTTGGGCGTTAATGCACTAAAGAAGCATGAAGAATTCTTGGAGGTGTAGTAGAAGAGGAAAAGAACAATTTGTACGGCGATGAAGACGTAGAGAGGGTATCGACGAAAGTACAGCAACATGTCGTGAATGACTTCGTAAACTCATGACAGTGACAATCTAGCAGAGCACCGAATGATGGCAACAGTCAAGGAAAGTATCCGCGAAAAAACATAAGGTGCTTGCATTGAAAAGGGGAATACTTGTAAACGATCACGGAAAACAAATAAGGGGAAAATTAGCGCTAAAAAATAAAATACGTGGTTTTTGGTGAGAAGCAATGAAAGGTAACAAATGATTGGCAACGAACCAGCGAGAGAAGGACGATCAACGTGACGAGGGAAACAAGCAGAAATGGCTCGTGAGATCAACAAAATACGGAGTATGAAATTTTAATTCGAATAAAAAGACTACTTTCGGAGTTTTCAAAAAGTACACGTGAAATGGTATCTGCTTGTTCTGGCGCACTCCTGAATGCCGCCGTAGTTGAAATGAAAGTCCCAGAAATGTGGCTACTTCTTCTGCTGAAGCACTGTCACTTTCTGGTTGTCTTTGGTGGATAGAGCTGCAGCTGTTGTTGTTGATGGTGTAGGTGGCTTTACACCGAAATGCTGATCGCCTCGGCGGGTGACAGAAGAGCAGAAGAGCAGCACTGCTGGTGTGTTTGACGCAAGAGCTGCCTCGATGAGTGCTGTCCAATTGAAGGAACGGTTCGCATGTGCTCGGCGGTAATTGATCGTAGTCGCATCGGCAGTGGTGCGAGACCGGATGATTTGATGAAACCTAATCAGATAAGAATGAAAGCAGATCGATGGCACTGTCTGTTTACGTCAACACACTGCTGCCACACGGTGGGAGCCAGGCCACTTCTGGGCAGAGCCACCAAGCACTGCCGAAGGTACAGGCACTGCTGCTTTCACTCCGAACCTGACTCCTCCTCCTCCTTCGTCTGATGCTGGCAATTAAAGGTGCAGTACTGAATACTGTTCCAAAAGTGTGTCCATTTGTATAAAAAGGAAGTGAATTTGCCGATAAATTGTCTTGAATATAGTTTTTCTTAAATCTTAAAGTGCTCCCAAACGCACATACTCGTAATTCCCCTGATCTTGTCTTTACAAAATTATTAGTATTCAACACTGAAATTGGCTTTTGTGACTGCCAATATTGCGCAACTTGAGGCGGCAAATCGACCACAACCTGCCGTTAGGAAGTGATCTATCGGTGTGTGGGCAAAGTGGCGCAATTTCTCAGCTGTCACCGACAGGTCTTAAGTAAGTGGAACAAGCGTAAAACACTCCGGTAGAAGAGCACAGCTACCGGCAAATGACTGTGCTGAGGTGGTGAGTGGAGAAAGAGATAGTGCCAATGGCGGCCGGTTTTCGGTGACTTAACCGCCAGCACTATCGACCATTTCGCTGGCGCCAGCTCGCACAGACTCGCGCAAAGGCGCCAACAGACAATTGAGCTAATTGTAATTCAATTAAATCGATGCATTACTGGTTGTACCAAGCGTACCAGCTTCGTATTCAAGCCAAGAAAAAGAGAGAAAAAGACGAAAGAGTGGAAAAGGGAAATGCGTTTAATGGCATTGCAATACAAAAAAGGTTGAGTTTTAGATTTTAACAGAAATTAGATTTACACAAAAAAGTAGGAAGTGGTGTTGTGTCAGTGTGTGCCTATGTGTGAATGAGGAGACAGAAGCAGAGAGAATGTCAGTGTTGCGTTTGCTGAAAATTGAGAAGAACAGAAGGAGGAGGAGGGAGGTAAAGAGTAGAGGAAATGGCAGAGTGCACAGAATAACGATTCAATTGGTTAGGGCTGACTAGAGAAGAAGTGTGAGTATGTGTGAGTGTTTGTGTGCTCAGAGTTCGGTGCTAGAGAAGGGCAAGGTGTGTTGGCAATCGCACTACGTGGCCTGCAGAGTGGACTGGCGGAAGAAACGGCAGATTACTTGATCACGGACTAGAACATTGGTCAGTCTGCAGACTGGACTACATCTTGATCAAAAGAGGTGGGGTAAGGAATCACATTAGAGAGAAAGAGGGAGGGAGGGAGGGAGGGAAGGAAGGAGGGAGAGCGTGTGTGACTGGGTGGACACAGTAGAAGGAAGACAAGTGTGTGTTCGGTGTTCTGATCCCTTGCCGAATGCCTGTGAACTCATTCCATGCTGCTGGCGCTTTCACCGTGGACTTTGTGGGTTTTGGTAAAAAGTGACTAGAAAGGAGCAAAAGTGACTTACAGTAAAATGAATTGCATTAAAATAGAAAATGTGTAAAAGCTCAATTGGTACAGGAGAAGTGAGGGAGAAGGAGGGGGTAACGCGTGTTAAAAATTTTGATAGAGTTCAACAAAGGTATAATATATCACAAGTAGGGAGCAATTGAACACGCGGAGCGCGAGTTACGATTTCCAAACTTTTTCAACTTTTCCAAACTTTGAGGCGTTTCAGAGAGAGCTTCTTCAGGCGTGTCAGCGAGCCAACCGAGTCCTTAGTTGACTTGCTGGTAGTGGTCTCCTCGCCGTCCGACGGCATTTCGCCCTCACTGTGCGCCTGTCGAACTTCGTCGTTCTCCACAGCAATGTTCTTCTTGCTGTGCTCCAAAGTGCCCTCGGCCGCCTCGGTCGACTTGGCGCTACCTTTTCTTGAGCTGGTCGGTGAGTCAATGCAGTCCTTGCGCTGGAGCCGCTTCGAGTAAGTTCGATGCAGCTGGGACAGTTTTTTGAGTGAGCCTCGACCTCGCAGGAGCTTTGAGGACGAGGGCGAGTTGTTCTTCATAAAGGTATTATCACTGACGGTCACATCTTTGCGGTACTTTAGCTCAAACTTGCCCTTATTCTTCCACTGCGTCTGCACGTCGTAAATGTTCTCGAGGTCGCCGACCACTCGACGGTAGCCCATTCCAGGCTTGCTTTTAAAGGAGAACGTCGACTCGCTCTGATTCGGATCGCTAAAGTTCTCCACCTCCTCAACGATGACAAAACTTTTGGGGTCCTCGACGCGGTGAGCCTTGAGCAGTGCCTGCGTGATAATGTCCTGACTGGTGCTTTTCACCGAGGCCTTCAGAATAGTGTACGGCTGGTCATTGCTGACATTGTAGATGCACACGAGAAAAGTCTCATTCTCGTGCTCCTCCTGCCAGTCGGCGATGATCTCATCGTTTCCGGCCGCCCCCTGGTCCTGCTTCTTCGCCCGCTCCTTGATGTTGGTCACCCGATTGGCAATGCTGGTCATCCAGGCGCGGGTGCTCGGGTCGTCGGCCATCTTCTTGAGAATGAAGCGGCCCTCTCCCTTCCAATTACTTTGCGCCTCCAAGGGGCGCTCGCAGGGATCGAGCAGTCGCTGGGTGACACTGCTGCGGTCATTGAGGCGCTTCTTCTCCCAGCCGCGACTCACCTCCTCCAGCAGCACGTAGTCGTTCACGTTCTCCGCCGCCTTGTTCGCCTTGGTCAGCGCCTGAGCAATCACATCGGAGACGGTACTCTCCTGGGTAATCTTCAAAATGGTGCTCGGCTCCTCCGGCATGACGCCATGCACCATGAGGAAGAACATCCTCCGCTTGACGGGCGCCGTGCCGAGCACCTCGGCCTTGCAGTCAGGTCGGTTGAGCTCAATCTTCGTCAGCATCTTACTCTTCGCCTTTGCCTTGTCAGAGGACGTCTCTGACGACTCAATGTCCAGACCCTCCTCCTGCAGGTGAAAAGAGGAGAAAAGTGCCATTTGATTAGTCGCTCACGCTCTCTCCATCTCTTTCTCAAGTGTGAGACTTATACACAACCGCACACATACCTCATAGGTGGAGTAGATGAAGAGGGTCGCCAATGGCAGAGCTTGGTTCTGTGCGTTGTGCAGCCGAAGGTGCCGATAGCCCTGTCGAAGGCACTTCACGGGAATAATGCGCTGAGCGGCAGCGTGACTGGCGCCAGTGTCAAAGACGGTGAAGCGGAGAAAGGCCAAATCGACAAACTTGATCTATTCGCATGAAAAAAAGGGAAGGGAAGGGAAAGGAATGGAATGGCAATAGTAGCAGATCAAACAAATCGAACAGTGACTAAATGAGCACTCATACCCGGAAGGATAAGTTGTCATTCCAGATGGGATTCAGTGAGTTGCGTGGCACCGCTTTCGTGCGCTGTCGATTGCAGTCGACCGGAATGCCGATAATCTCCACTTCCACTTGCGGACTGCCGCTGTTGTTGTTCGGAACGACGTACTGACCGGATATGATCTGCCAAGAAAGAGAGAAAGTGTGAAGGTAAATGAACACTCAACACAATCTACCACGGTACTCACTGTGATGTTCAGATTGATAGTGTGCAGTCCGTCAAACTCCTTCTCCCAGGGATTGAAGCGGCCAAACATGAGGTGCGACTTGTCTCGCATCACACTGGTCTTTAGCACGTAGCCACAGCCACCGTTCTGCTCAAACATTGCCGAGTTGATCTTCTGCGCAGAGTCCACCGTCTGGTAGTTCAGCGCCACTGACTGAATGCCGAAGGCCCAGAAGATGACCGGGTTGAAGTTGGAGCTGTCGATGCGCATTCCCGCCGGGTAGGTGCGCATTATTTGGCTTTCAGTGTGGGCAATCACCGCCAGGGGCGACTTGCGACACAGTTTCTTCGCCGTGTTCTCATTGATAGAGGAGATCTGGTAGCAGGCAGCCGAAGAGTTGGGTCGTTTGTTCATTGTCACCGAAGTTGAGGTATTGCTCGGAGCGGAAATAAAAGTAGGTGAGGGAGTGCTCAGCTCCCGAAGCTCATCACGAATTTTGTTCGATTCAAGCACCGGCAGAAGACTGGTACTGGCCTGAATGGTCGAGTTGAAGGCAACATTGCTGAGCGCCTTCCGAGAGGAGATCTTCTTGGAGATCGGCGTGGCAATTGTAGAGCTAGTTGGACTGACGTTAAAAGACGCCCCCGCGAGGAGGCCGCGAAACTTGATCGCCTGGCAGTAGATGACCAGATCAGAGAGTTCAGGTGCAATTTGACTGCTCGACTTTCGCACCACCTTACTGTGCACAAAGGGAGAAGCGTTGGCGGAGTGGCCGTCTGCCTCCTGTGTGTTGCCTGAGTGGTGCCCATCCGA